TTTGGGGCCAAACGGCTGTATATTAAAGTTACATGTTACTTTAAAAAAGAATAACAATTAGTTGACATTTAAGACGAGCCTGCATGGGGTCGTGACCCTAAGGTTGAAAAACACTAGCATAGTGTGAGTAGCCAAACTACCAATAACTTAAAGTATCGTCTGAATGTGATGTCTGTAAATGTGTTGTCACTGAGGAAGTCCGATAATATCGGGCCTATAATATTGGTCAACCGATATTATCAGCCCGATATTAGCATATTATGTGTACGTTTTTTTCTTCCGATAATGAAAATCTGATAACGCAATGCCTTTTTTTGCACCAAATGATGTGTGCCCTAAAAACAGTTTTGGAGAAAAACAGCTGTATATTAACGTGAAAATCACTAGATGGCAGCATTGCAGCTCATTTAATTAATCTAATACTCATACAGTGGTTTGTACATATAAATAAATAAATTTCACCAGGCCTATATCGGTATCGGTCGATATCGGAATCTTAAATTAGGTGTTCGGACAATATCGGCAAAAATTTAATATCGGACATCCTTACCCATAACCCACGTGTCCTCCACATGTTTCAGTAAGCTCTTGTCAATGAGAGGTTTTACGAAGTCACTTTTTTTCCCATGTTTCCCAAAAACGATTGCGAGGAACAGACTGACGGCCGAACACAACGACAGACAGAAACGTCACCGTCACAGCTGCTCTGCTGATGTGTATCTCCTCTGTCTGTCTGCAGGTGGCTCTGCTCCATGTTGGGCATGTTTATTGTTGGCATCAGTCTCCTCTGTGTGAGTACACCCTTTATTCAATTACCGGTGTTCTGGTGACACTCTCGCCCTCTACAACCACAAGAAACAATATTTACAGCTGTTGACTCACCGGACTTTCATCTGGGTGCCAAGGTGGGGGGTGGGTGCCCCTTAGGAGGTCACAACGGGGCTTTTAATTTCTTGAATTGTGTCCACAGTAGGGGGTGGACGTGGCAGTTGTAACGAACTTTGTTCAGGGACAATAGTTGTCCTGTAGGATTTTTTGAAGATTTTTTTTTTAAAAAAAGTTCAGAGGAAGTTTTCAAGTTTTTTGTGGAGGTGGACATGTCTGGACACGAGTCCTGTCTTATAAAGGAGGGCAATGCAACAAAAGTATAACAAAAAAGTTTGATCCAAATAACAGTAACTTCTGTTGACGCCATTTTACCACAGACGAATCAAAAAGTGAATCGGTTGAAGTTGTTTTTTTTCTTTCAGTATGACATGAAAATATATATTTTTTTATGATGTCACTTTATGTGCGTGTATGTGTGTGTGTTCATGGGTGTCTGTGTCACAGGTTCCTTTTGCGACCAGCATCTACGGTCTGATTGGACCAAACGGAGGTCTGGGCTTTGCTATAGGTGACTTAATGCTAATGCTAACGCTAACCATGTCAGTTACTCACACATCATCCTAAGTCCCTTGGTTATTGTATGCTGTTATTGTGTTGAAGGCATGGTGGACTCCTCCATGATGGCCATCATGGGCTACCTGGTGGACATCCGTCACATCTCCGTCTACGGCAGCGTCTACGCCATCGCTGACGTAGCGTTGTGTATGGGCTTCGCTATCGGTAACGTGCAGACATACTGGTCTTCATGTTACAGTGGGTGGGATTGGGCGGGGGTTGGGGGGAAAGTATCTCGTGAGCACCGGAAAGTATCTCGTGAGCACCGGAAAGTATCTCGTAAGCACCAGAAAGTATCTTGGGTGCACCAGAAAGTATCTCTTGCGCACTAGAAAGTATCTCGTACACACCAAAAAGTATCTTGTGAGTGCCAGAAAGTATCTCGTGGTCACTAGAAACGTTTCATTTTTTTTTTCCATGTCCCATTAGGGGCCGTACTATACATACATATACATATACATACATACTAAGCCCAGCTCCTGAAAAACAACCCCACACCATAATTCCTCCTCCACCAAATTTCACAGTCGGCACAATGCAGTCTGAGATGTACCGTTCTCCTGGCAACCTCCAAACCCAGACTCGTCCATCAGATTGCCAGATGGAAAAGTGTGTTTCATCACTCCAGAGAACGTGTCTCCACTGCTCTAGAGGCCAGTGGCGGCGTGCTTTACACCATTGCATCCGACGCTTTGCATTGCACTTGCTGATGTGTGGCTTGGCTGCAGCTGCTCGGCCATGGAAACCCATTCCATGAAGCTCTCTGCGTACTGTACTTGGGCTAATCTGAAGGTCACATGAAGTTTGTAGCTCTGTAGCAATTGACTGTGCAGAAAGTCGGCAACTTGCTTGATTTTGTACACCTGTGGCCAGGCCAAGGGATTAGGACACCTGATTCTGATCATTTGAATGGGTGAGCGAATACTTTTGGTAATATAGTGTATAAGTGTACATGTTTGAGAGGATGAAAGGAATGATTGAACCATTTGTTGTTGTTGTTTGTTCTTTAGAGAGTGTTCTTGTCATTTGATGGGTACCGTAGAGTTCAGAAATTGACTCAGGATTGAGAAAACGTGTGTGAGTGTGCATCCTCTGACCTCACGGGTTCAGTGGATGGTGAAGATTCAGGAGAAGTTTGAGTGAAGAGATTCCTGGCATCCTATGACAGTTCCACGCTGGAATTCACTGAGCTCCTGAGAGCGGCCCATTCTTTCACAAATGTCTTGTTTCACAGTCTGCATGCCTGAGTGCTTGATTTTATACACCTGTGACCAGGCCAAGGGATTAGGACACCTGATTCTGATCATTTGAATGGGTGAGCGAATACTTTTGGTAATATAGTGTATGTACATATATGCACAAACATAGGTATAAACATATATGTACATATATGCACAAACATATATATAACATATATAAACATATATGTATGTGTACAAATATACAGTATATGTTACTTCACTGTTAATACAATATTACCAGTCCTTCATGACAGTGATCCAGAAACCTCCTTTCTGTTCCAGGTCCGTCCACAGGAGGCGCTATAGTCCAGGCTGTGGGTTTTCCCAGTCTGATGGTGTTTATCGGGGTGATAAACATCCTCTATGCTCCGCTCTGCTTCTTCCTGCGGAACCCGTCGGTCCAGGAGGAGAAACTGGTAACTGACAGCGACAGAGCGCAGTACTGTTGTTAATCCGGAGAATACAGAACCGATGTGAGAAGACTTAGGTACTGCACGGTTTTTAATCAGCAGGATCAGAACCGTGTGATCCCTTTAATCTTCAGGAGGGAGTGGGGAACACTTTGAGCAACACAGGGGGTTCAGGGGGGAGCGGGGAGTTTGGGGGGGCAGGTCCAGACTGATGGTTCCAGGATGTGTGTGTGTGTCTGTGATGATGAAGAGTTTCTGTGAAGTCATTACACCGTGATTAGACACATCAGACGGAGGCAGAGGAAACACCAGGACAACACACACACAGGATAACACACTAATGCCCTCTCACCCTCTCTCTCTCTCTCTCTCTCTCTCTCTGCGTGTGTGCGTCCACGCTGCAGGGAATCATCGACCAGGAGTGTGTGATGCACAAGAAAAGCTACAACACGCAGGACGAGAGACGTGAGTTACCTTTGAGCGACTACAGTGAAGAAGAAGAAACCGCAGCGTGACCCCCCCCGCCTCCCCCCGCCCCCAAACACACCCACCCACTCTTTCTCACTCTCTCTCTCTCACACACACACACATACACACATTCACTCTCTGAACTGACATATATACAGTCCCCTCCAAAAGTATTGGAGCAAGGGGAATTTCTTTGTTTTTGTTGTATACTGAAGACATTTGGGTTTCAGATCAAAGAATGAATATGAGACAAAAGTTCAGAATTCCAGCTTTTATTTCATGGTATTGACATCCAGGTGTGTTAAACAACTCAGGACTGAGCCCCTTTTCTTTGAACCCACCCACATT